ATGCAGAAGAAACACATAAGCCACATCAGAACACTGCGCTCAACATGGCATTTCAGTGGATATTAAATCTGGAGCAGATTCTCTCCCCAGCACCTCTCCTCCCCAGAGGGTGAGCTGGTAAAACTGTCTATTGGTCCACTGCCCTGTTCCAACTCAGAGAACTCCATGGTTTCTCTGGCATCTTCTTCAGAGGAACATCTGCCTTTCACAACTTGATTGGATAATCAGCTCCTCGGTGAGACATTCTGGGAAGAAGGATTTATAATTCCTGGGAATATAAAGTGTATCTCAGTAAGGGACTCGGTGAGGTGGTGGGGGTGGGAGGACTGTTTTAGAAGCTTTGGAGTCAATGCAGATGGTCTCGCTTACCACAGTCCTCCCTGCAAGTATTTTCAAGCCAACTCAGGAGGCCTGGCATTCATCAGGGGTGAACCTGGATGCCACGCCAACTAGCGTGGTAGTTCAGGGTGCCTCATACATTCCTCCTAAGTTACATCTCACCTGTAGCTGATGATGCTATGCCAGCCCAAGAAATTGATGTGCCCTTGGCCCTGTACCTCCACCATGTTCCCATCTGACAGCATCTTCCTTGGCAACTTCTGAGATGCTCCAGAACAGCAGGTTCTCTGGGTTCTATGATCTGAGTGTTTGAGTTCCTCCCCTAACCCTACCAAACTGATATTGAAAACCTAATGCCCAAGGTGATGGCAGGAGGACTGAGGTCTCTGGGAGGTGATTAGGTCTTGAGGGTAGAGGCTTCATGGATGGGATTAGTGCTCTTATACAAGAGGCCCCAGAGAGCTAGCTGGCACCCTCCACCATGTGAAGATACAACGGAAGGTCTACGACCAGAAGAGGGCCTTACCCAACCATGCTGGCACCCTGATCTCAGACATCCACCTTCCAGAACTGTAAACAATGAACTTCTGTTGCTTATCAGCCACCAGGTCTCTGGTATTCGTTACAGCAGCCTGAACTAAGACACTGTGGCAGCTTGGAGGGGTTACTTTGGTGCCTCCTCTTGGGCAAACTGACGGTTCTCACTCATTGGCAGAGCTCACACTCTGGAACTTTCCCAGTTGATCTAGCGTCAGCCACAACAAAAGCAGCCTTCCGTGAATGGGGCAGCACAGCCTTTTTGTCCAGCGACAGCTGCCTCCTATTTAGAAGCCCTCTGTCCAAAAGCTTCTCCATTGTTTGGAGGGTCTGAGGGCCAGGGGGGCACCCTGCTGGGGGTCAGATTCCTCACACGGCCTCTCCCTTCAAAGAGGCACTGCTTCTGAAGGAAGCCATCAGCGCTTGGGAAACTCTCAATGCCCATGTGAGGGAAAATTCTCCAAAACTGGGACTGTGGAGCAAGAGAAACACTGAAGATAGTGTTTGATGAGGGAAGAGCTGGGGACTAGGTCATGGATGAAAGGAACCCGGAGGATCCATTTCTGGAGGTCCTGGTATGCTCTCCTAGGTGGGATCCACCTCAAGCCTGCTTACAGACCTTTTCAAAATATGGGTGGGCACTGCCATTTGGTGTCAAGAATTGTTCTGGACAAAAGAGATACATGATGTAGAATACAATAATTAATACACCATGAAACCATTCCATAAATCCACAAGTTGATTGTTAAACATGTAATCCTGAGGGAGAAGAAAATACAAATGCAGAATATTGGGAAGAAGAAAAGGATATTGATAGGTAAGGTGGAGTTGTTTCAGAGTTCGGAGAACATCACATACAAATGTATTAGGGTGATAAATGTAATCTTGATGAAATGGAAGATTTTCTAGGAAAATAGAAATAACCAAAACGAATGCAGAATGAAGCATACAATTAAGTGAATAAATAACCAGAAGCGGGTAAAAAAACTCTTACAGAGGTCTAGTGAGATTTTAGATCTTTGATGTTTAAGAGATCAAAGAGTTACTTCTCCAAAAGGAGTTGGATCCTAATGGTTTCAGGAATTAATGTTTTCCAACCTCAAGGCTATACAGCAATAGAGACATATAGAAAGCTTGCCAATTCTTTTATCATTTTACAAAGCTTTTTCTACATTAAAATACAGAAAGAAAATCAAAAACTAAAACACAAGCTGAATTGTGGCTGTGGATTAAAACCACAACTTAAATATTAGTGAGTCAAATCAGGCAGACTATTAAAAGACTAATACATAATGATAAATTAGAATTTACCTTAGGAGAGCCAAGTTGGTTTAACGTAAAGCAATCTATTAGTACAAACCACCAGGTTGGTGAAGTTTCATATCCATCCCAATTAGAATAAATTCTTTATAAAATAGGTCAGAAAAATATTTACTGAACATGATGGAGTGTCTTAGTTAAACCAACAGCCCGTAAGAGACTTACATGTAAAATTTCAGAAACAGTCACAACACAATGAGAGTCACTAGGGCTGTGACAGCACTACAGGCATGTCATTTTGCCCTTGTTTTTTCTTTATCATATTAGAAATCATTTAAAAAATTAATTAGGCTCCTGGGGCACCTGGGTGGCTCAGTCGGTTAAGTGTCTGACTTGGGCTCAGGTCATGATCTTACTGTTCATGAGTTCGAGCCCTGCATCGGGCTCGCTGCTGTCAGCCCAGAGCCTGCTTTGGATTCTCTGTCCCCCCTCTCTCTGCACCTCCCTTGCTCTCTCACTCTCTGTCAAAAATAAATAAACATTTTTAAAAATCTTAAAAAAAATAGCCACCTACAGGCATGAGTGTGGGAAACATGACCACTCACATTCTGCCGGCTGAAATATCTGCCAGGTGGAACAATTTCCTGAAGGGCAAAGTCGTCACAACTTAAAAATGTGCAAATCCCTTTTCTATCATTTTCTTCCCTAGGAATGTATCCAAAATGCATCAAAAAAATGGTACACGTAGAACTTCACACAAATACAAGGTTATGCATGTAGTAGTCTATATAGTCCTCCCTGCAAGTATTTTCAGGCAAACTCAAAAGGCCTTGCATTCATCATGGCTGAACCTGGACGCCTCGCCAGCTAGTCTGGTGGTTCACAGCCTCATAAGTCATGGGTTCGTGGTTCATCCCTCCTAAGTTCCATCTCACCTGTAGTTGATAATGCTATGTGGACAATAGAGGGGAAAGATACATAACTATCCCATAATAAGGGACAGCTTAAAGAAGCTGTGCTCTATCCATTAGCTAGAATACCACACAGTCATCAGAAATGGTTCTGCTGGGGCGACTGGGTGGCTCAGTTGGTTGAGCATCCGAGTCTTGATTTTGGCTCAGGTCATGATCCCAGGGTCGTGGGATCATGCACTGAGCATGGAGCTTGCTTGAGATTCCCTCTCTCTCTCTCTCTCTCTCTCTCTCTCTCTGCCCCCTCCCCCACTTGCGCTCCCTCTCTTGCTCTCTCAAATAAATAAATAAACATTAAAAAAGAAAAGAAAGAAAGAAATGGTTCCGTTGATGGGTACTTACAGCATGAGAAACATGCACAGCATTTTGTTAAGTAAAAAAAAATGCAGACCATGTTTCCCTCTTAATTTCAAAATTTCATACACAGGAGTAGGAAAAGAAATCCAGAAGCACATGCATCAGGGTTCTTAAGTCTATATGGCGGGACTACAAGCGATCTTTACTCTCTTTATTCTGCTCTTCTGTGTTGTCTAGATTTTCCACCATGAACACGTATAACGCTAGTCGTCCCAAAGCCATCAAAACGGTGTTTACTTGCTCAACACACATTAACTGAGTCTTACGATATACCAAGCACTTCCAGGTGCCGGGGTTTGGGTGATCGGCCAAACCAATAAAGTTCTCTCACTGGCGGCGGAGAGATGGACAATAAACACCAAAGGAACTGATCAGACGATGTCACACAGGGATCACGCCCCGAGGAAATCAGAACAGGATGTGACGGAGAGTGGCTGGTGGGGGGCGTCGCAGAAGGTCCCTCTGAGGAGATGGTGAGCTGAGACCCGAAGGAGGAGACGCCAGTTCAAAGATGAGAGAAGGGGACTGGTCCGTATGGATGAGCTTGCCCAGTGTGTTGTTCAGTGAAAATAAGCCTGTTGTGAAACAGTATGTGCTATGGTATGCGTGCTGGGCATCTAAAAATCTCCTAGGCTATTCGGAAGATGTAGTCTTACTGGTTGAGCAGTTATGGGTAACTTTTTTCCTCTTTGCTTATCCTTCTACAATAGATATATATGTCACCGTTGTTAGTCATCCCCTCATTCAAGTATTCCCCCCAAAATCTGATTCTGTGGTGCTAGAGATACAGCAACAACCCAAGCAAAAGTCCTAACAATGGAGCCTTGTTTGGGGCAAGGGGAGGCAGAGGAGATGAGAAAACAGGTTGAAAAAACATTAAATAGTAAGTCAGATAGCGGTAAGCATCTTGAGCATGTAAGGCAGTGACGCGGAGTGTAGGAGAGACCTTCGAATTTGGGAAGGGGCCGTGCAGCTTTTTAGGGAAAAGGGCTTCTGTGCACAGGAAACAACAACACAAGCGCCAGGAGCGGGGGAGCGAGCTGGCAACCAGGGGAAGCCGCAGGACAAGGTCAGGGACAAGGGATGGAGGGGGTGGGGAGCAGACCCCTTAGGGCGGCCAGGCCCGTGTAAGGACATTTACCCTCAGACACAGAAAGGCATTGGAGGGTTTTGATCAGACAAGCGACATGATACAATATTTTTAGCAGAATCATCATTCAAAGCTGGCGTGCTGAGAACAGAAAGGGGGCAAAGGTCGAAGTAGGTGGACCCATTAGGAGCCTAGTGCCAAAAGCCCAGGCAAGAACGATGAGGGTTTGACCCTCAGGATGGTAGCGAACATGTGGTCAGATGGTGAGTCTCTATCAAAATTAGAGTCAATAGGATTTGCTTTATGGATTACTTGTGGCATGTGGGAGAAGAAGAAATCAGAGGTGGCCCTATGAGCTGGTCCCGAGCAAACGGAGTTGCAGTTAGCTGCACTTTAGAAACCTGCAAGAAGAATGATTTTTGATTTGCTTGTTTGTTTGTTTTCAGGGGAGGCATCGGTTTGGAGTATGCTGAGTCTGAGATGACGGTCAGAGATCCAAAGGAAGAGGTCAACTCAGGTTTTGGATATAAAGGTTCAGGGGAGAGGACACAGGACTCACGGGGGAACTCAAGGCTGGAGACACACGTGTGGGAGTCCTCCGTGCAGAGATGCCATCTGAAGCCATGACCTAGCTGAGGGCACCAACAGAGGGGTGTAGACAGATAAGTAAAGGGAAGGAGGGGCACCTGGGTGGCTCAGTCGGTTAAGCGTCCGACTTCAGCTCACGTCATTATCTCACGGTTTGTGGGTTTGAGCCCCGCGTCGGGCCCTGTGCTGACAGCTCGGAGCCTGGAGCTGCTTCGGATGCTGTGTCTCCCCCCCCTCTCTCTCTCTCTGCCTCTCCCCCACTGATGCTCTGTCTCTCCCTGTCTCTCAAAAATAAAAATAAAACATTTAAAAAATTGTTTAAAAAAAAGAAAAAAAATAAAGGGATGGAAAGCCTGCGCCCTGGGACATTCTACCATCAATGGTCTGCAAGAAGGGAAGGAAGAGCAAAGGGAACTGAGAAGAAAAGGAAATGACGTAGAAGAAAGGACACCGGCAGAATGTGGGGTCCCGAAGGCCCTGTGAAGAAAGATATCAAAATGGAGGAAATGAGCACCGTAAAAGGGGGACTGATAAAAGATCATTCGATTAGTAACGTGTTGCACTTGAGCAGAGCAATCTCAGCAGAGGTGTGATGCTCTAAGTTTGGTCGGAGGGGGTTCAAGGGAGCAGCGGGGAGGGGGCGCGAAAATTGGACTTAGCGTGAGATTTGCTTTAAATAGAAGGGGAGCATGGTGTTTCAGCTGGTGGGATAAAGAGAGGAATTTTTTCTTTAAAGATGGGTAAAATAAAAGAAATTATAAAGGGGAAACTAGAAGATTTTTACTGGAATTGGGGAAATAGAAGACAATCCCATTCATTCCAGGAAAAACAAACCACTAATTGGTAGAATATTTTCAGATCTTCGGGCACTGTGCCCCCGACCGCCATCTTCGAGGGCAGAATCAGGAAGAAACAGCTCAAGGTTGACGGAGAGAAGTAAAGACGCTTTCACAAAAGTTGGGGGACCACCTCCGGCTTCCAGTTATAAGTTGGTCTTACACCCCACCAGCCCTGTTACTGTGTGGGGCTTGTCTTCCTTGGCACTAAATGCTCCTCACTGCCTGCTTCTCCTTTGCCTCCCAGCATCAACTCTCTGAAATCCAGGGTCAACACACCCACTGAATTAAGACTCAAAGCAAACTTTACAGGCTTCCAAGAACATCTCTTCCTTGAAGAAAAACTCACTTTTGCAAATCAGCATGGTTTATTTTCGAGGATCAAAAGGCCACAAGCAGTCAGACTTCCTGAGCTAATAATAAAAGAAAATGCTGGCTCTTGATCTCAGCAGAGAGCAAGAGGAGGGAATAAAGGCAAAAACGAGCCATTCTGAAATTCTGAAAGGCATGATTTCTTAAGATAGAAGGTCTCATCTATGCAAAACAAGGTTGGTGATGAAATAAATCCATGGAGCCCTTCGTACGAATTTACCTCCCCCAGCCACACAGAAGCATTCTGAGGATTCACAACCATACCACCCTGAGAAATCCAAAAGAAGGCAAACATATAAAAAAACATAAACTGATCTTTGCCTTCCCCTCGTTCAACAATGTCGTCTAAAGTCACAAGGGAGGGCCAAGCAAGAGAGCATCTGCATGGCCTGGCCTAGGGTGCAGAGCCCAGTGCGGTGAGGAGGGCACCCATGTCGGGAAGGGACATCACAGCAATGCACCATCAGTGACCTACTCCAACTGAATAATGGGAGCCAGTTTTCTCTGAGAAGGGGCCTACAAAAACAAACCATGTGGTAGCGGGGTGGAACTGGAGGTTCTAGGCAAATACATATATGGATCAGAACTGGAAGCTTAGCAACATATGTATATGTAAATCTATGTGTATGTGTATGAGTGAGTGACTGTGTGTGTGTGTGCATGTGTGTGTGTTCAAATCTACATCCCCTTCCTTTGTCCACTGAGAGGGGTCTGGGAGCACAGCCACCTAATAGCCATGAGCATAATGAAAGCAGAAATCTTGGCACCCAAATATTATCCTCCAGTAAAAGTAACCAGAGCTTCTTGAGAAATGGCTCAAATCTTGGCTTATTCCAAGACTCTAGCAGAGAGAGTACAGATGGTTTGGGGATGTCTTATGGTGGCAAAAAAAAAAAAAAAAAAAAAAAGCAAAAAAGCAAAAAAAGTGCTCAAAGAATGAGAGGTGCTTGTTAAAAGAACATAAAAGCCAACTTAGAGCGGTGCCCATTGGCCAGATCTGGGATAATGTGAACATCAAACCAAGCAATGAGAGCAAATGCATTACAGTGAGAATCCTTGAGGGTGTGCTGATATAAGTAAGTGAATAAATTCGGTGTCATGAAAAATGGGATGTGTACGTGGTTTTAAAATATCTCCCTACAAAATACTTATTCATTACAAAGTGAAAAGGTGTCGCTTGACGCTGAAGAAACTTTGCAGCCATCAGATAACCAAGCGACAAGCGATCAAAGAGAACCAAGCGATCACAGGGTACGGCAAGAACAGAGTACTACCTCTGTGATACTCCTGCCGTGGGTGAATAACTAGAATATCAACGTAAGGAAACTTTCAACCAAAAACCCAAATGTGAGGAACATTCTACCAAACAATTGGTTTGTTGTCAAAGTACAAGAAAGACCGAGGAACTGTTCCAGACGGGACACCTAAATGCAACGCTTGAATAGAAACTGGGTCCTTTTTGCGATACACAACATAAAAGAACAACTAACTGCCTTTCAGATGGTAGAAATGAATCCGTGTTAATTTCCTGATTCTTAGGGCTGCGTTGCAGTCACGCGGGAGAATATCCTTGTTTGCAGGAAATCATGCTGAAGTATCTGGGGGTCGTGGGGATATCAAGTGGGCCACTCACTCTCAAATGATTCAGGGGGAAAAACTGGCTGTGTACCATCACTGTGACCTTTCTGTAAGAGCGGGATGGTTGCAAAATAAAATAAAATTCGATATTTGGAGGGAAAAAAAAAACCCTTATCCTGTTGTTGAAACACAATGATCGTTGGAGTTACCTAGTGTGATAACAGCCTTTGGAATTAATCTTTCAAAGCAGATATGTGGAGGAACACTCTGGAAGCAGTGCTATTCATGCCCTGGTGTACTCGGGGCTCCCATGCAGAGGAGAGCCTTCTGAGTTTGCAACCAAAGCATTTAAGGGTGGCCCCTCTTTCCTCTACCCATTGAACACAGGTATAGGTGAAAAAGAGAAGAAAGAAAAAGCATTTTGGTTTTATCTACACAAAGGGACAAGCTGAGAAAAAAATTAGAATCCATGTCAAGTTCATTGTATCATGGTAGAAACAGGAATCAGCCTGATGTAATAAAAGCACGATTAGTATCGTTAAATCATTAAATGATTAGTATCATTTAATCTCTAAGGACGAAGGCCTAAGAGTATTTAGTATAAACATTGTAGATCATTAAAATTAAATTCAAAGATGAAAAGCTGATATCCTGAGAAGTAAGGGATCGCATTGCAAGTGGTGAAGCCAGGGCTAGAGGCCATGTCTGGCAACCCATGACTTTCTCACTGCATGTCCGTGCTCTCTACACAACACTATGTGGCTTTCTCTAAAAATACAAAACAGAAATGATATTCTGCTCTCCAAGAATAGAATTCTCAGGGAAAACTGAGACTGACATGAATTGATCAGAATTTGAATGAGAATCTATTTTCTTTTCATCTTTTACCCGTCCCCCCACCCCGCCAAAATCCCTGAACCTGTAGGACGGGTAGTCAAATAGTCTTCTAAGCTATGATCCCTACCACACCCAGGCATATTCTCTTAACCCCTCTCTGCTCACTCTGTATCAGTAGCACCATTAATTCCAACCGCCAAGCCACCATTTTGTAAGTGGGCGCGGTAAGCTACTGGTGGCCCAACAAAATTCATTCAGTATCCCACACTGCTTCTTCCACAAAATTCAACACACTCGCTGAAATATGAAAATAATCTTCTTTCTTTTCCTGGGTCTTCCAGATGTAATACTTGTGAGTTTAGCCAAGGAGTCAGGAAGGATAGTTGGAAGCAGAAAACAAAATAGTATCAATTACTAATATTTCCCATTCTCTGCTGAGGCTGTCTTATCTGAAGCTTATAAAGTTGTTTAATCTTTTCCATCATCTCAGGGAAAAGAGAGCCTGGAAAATCCTAGTCATTCCACAGTAACTATCAGTGGGATTTTCCATAACTATCTGGATGCAAAATAAAAATCTTAAGAAGTTGATCCAATTCTAAAACTTACTTCTCAGCTTACTAATAAATATGCAGAGACAACCCATCCACATTTTCTTCAAACAACATCTGGTTTCTTGGCTGGACTGCTAACACCTGAAAAAGTTTCTGAGTTTATTCCAGCAAATCTACATTTAAAGAGCTTAAAAATGCATTTACGCACTTAAACATTCTTTTCTACATCTGACTTAAGGCCAGAGATGGGACTGTGAGACAGAACCTCGCCAGGAAACTGGGAAGATGGGGAATAAAACTGCCTTCTAAAAACGAAACTGTGAAATCAACAATTGATAGGTCAGGACAGAGAAATGAGAAATCACCGCATGGGGACAAAAACCTCTAGGCCAGCAAGATTTGGCTGCAACCCCACTAAAGACATAACACACACACATAAAGGCTATAGTGATCGATCATGGAGTCAAAGATGAAGAAAGGTTGCTAAGACAGCCTGAGCAGTACTCACCAAGACTCCATGCGGAGTGGAGGGAGTCTGGACCAGCAGGGCTGGGGGAGCAGAGAACCAGTGACGAGACATCTGTCTGGTGGAAATGAACGCATCACTTAATCTCAGCCCCATTACCCTGGGCTGGCCTGTCTCCTTCAGGATGGAAAGCTCAACATTGCGCATACAGCCTGGCCTGGAGCAAGCAATCGTTAGATTCAGTGACTTGGCTCCCACTTTTTGCTCACAACCTCCTGATTATAATTTGGCTTGCCTACAGGGAGAGAATGACCTCGTCTTGTGGATCTGAGCATTCTGGCCCCCATGCCAGCCATAGCACTCACTCAAATATACGTTTTAGCTGTTAAGCCTGCTTCCTGTGAGTCAGCTCCCAAAGGAAGGGCCCTTGATCAAGTTTCTGAGCCCACGGGCTGGCAGCGAGTCTCTGGGCCAGGGTCAATTGACCAGGCGGGCCACGTACAGCTGCAGCCACCTACTGAGCACCTGGTATGTGTCATACACTGTGCCGTGTGCTTTACATACTTGAACTGGTTGAAATGCCAGGACACTCCAGTAAATTAGACACCACTGATATTGCCATTTTGTAAATGAAGAAACTGAGGCTCACAACGCTTTAGCAATTTCCCCCAAAGACCCACCTCAGGACGCTTGCACTTCACCCAGCTTTATCCAACTCTGAAGCTTAACCTCTTACATGGTGAAAATACTACCTCTGGGGGAATGGACCCTTACCCTTCTCCTGGCCACACTACTCTGCTTCAGCCGTGTGCTCTGGGCCATTCCAGTCCGGCTGCAACACGACCTTGTTCATCAATACACCACTACTGTGCCAGCCTCCCCATCAGGGCGCTAAAGGTTAGCGATTTCTCCTGGATCAGAAGCGCACAAAGCCAACCCTATCTCAGTGAACCGTGCCGGTATCTCTTTCACGCCATCAGAAGCCAAAAATGGCCGCCTCTCCTTGACTCTTCTCTCTCCTCACCTCCTCTGTGGGTAAACCCCTTCCATACCTCCCTAAGGAGTCCGCTTCTCACTGCCTCCATGGCTGCTACCCATCTTCCACCCGGACCTCGACCAGAGTCTCCTAAATCACGTGTTTGCCTCCACTCTTGCTCTCCTTTATTCGAAACCATATGCCCCGTGACTAGTCCGTAATGCAATTATGACATTCCACTGTTTGAAAATCCTTCAGTGGGTCCCAACCTCTCCACATCCTCTGTCTGCAGTCCTAACAGTGATCCGTCTGCAGTTCTTGGAACGCATCCAGCCCTGTGTGCTCCAGAATGTCCTGGAATATACCCGCA